TCGAATGTGTTTCGAAATAAATAATTTTAGGCACATAAAGCCAAATAAAAACTAAAAACTCGAAAATTTCAATTGCCTATAAATAGGTGAAAATCGCCAAAATATTTAAAAAATTGTATCACATCCAATAAGGGCTACTAAAAGTAGGTTAGGAAAAAATAAAATACGACAGAAATACATTTTACTATATTTTTTTAAATAAATAAAATAAAATTACAAGGGAAATAAAAAAATTACCCTCCTCATATATCAACAAGATAAAATTTAACAAGTACCTGAAAGATTTCTAATGAAAACAATATTCACAGACAAGAAAAAAACCACTCATCATAATAATATTATTATAGTAACTCTTAGAATCTAAAAAAAATTCACATGCCATTCATCGTTTGGCTCAGAATAAAAAAAAATACCAAAGTTATAACCACACAGTATATTAATATTCTTTATTACAGTTAAGTTAAATAATGATTTTATCCTTGTGCTTATGAGTTTACGACCAGCGAACCATCAAAAATACTTCCATAGGTTGGGAAATACTGTTCCATGCGATAAAATCTAAATAACGTAAATTATTTTAAAAAAATGTAATTGTACAGTGTACACTCACAACAGATATCAACGTAATGTAACTACCCACATAAATTTAATTTTTTTTTTTAATTCCGAGCGTAGCGAAGGAGCTATTTGATTTACTAAGATGTTTATTTCTTTTTTTTTTTCTTTCTTCCAATCTGTGGACACGTTTTTCCTAGTAAACTTGCTCCGATTTTTACGTATAGCCATTATTCTGAAAGCTCAAGTTGTCTACAATGTACCTAAAAAAATTATTTTATTTTATTATTTTTAAAAAATGTTTGACAGCATAGATGGCATTAATATCAATGATGTAACTCTTGGGAGATTTAATTTTCAACCTCCATCCCTACTAATTTTATGATAAAATTTCACAATTTGTTTAAAATAGTGTAGAGTTGTAGTATAGTATAGTTATGTTTTATGTATTATTATAATAGTATTCGGGTAGTAAAAAAAAACTTTGGTAAAATGTAGCTAATGTACACCGTAAGTACATAATGCGGGAATATTGGAGATCGGTGTAATAAACTGAGTCTATAAATTATTGATGCGGGCCTAGTGTCGCTGGACGTTTTGTAAGAATTATGGGAATGATCAAGAAGTAAAATAAAATGGATAAGAAACGTCGATTCCGAATTGAGACAATAGATGATACCTGCACGTATAATAGAACTTGTTTCGTTTCACTCGACTGTCGATAAAACATATTTTATTTTATTCGTGTCCAAACAGATATTAATTAAATGCCTAAAAGGCGCGCATAATGTACACAAATATAATGTAATGTGACGTGCTCGTAAAATATGTACAGGAACTGGTCAGTAACAAAACTAGAAAGTCTCGTAGTGGTATTTTTTTTGAAGATCTTCATTACTTTTTCCATCAGGCCCGGACTCCCGCACAAAGCCGGATTTCTGTAATCAATTCTTTGTTTGAAAAAATAAAAATGCAGTCCAAATTTAGATTCTGAGCAGAGCGAGCAATATACACATTTTATCGGGCATAATCTTTTACTATCGGGAATAGATTATTTAGACGTTGAAATGATTTTCTGGTCGTTACGAGTCGTCACATGCTCATCATGCAAATGTTTTTTTTTTCTGGAGGGCGATTAAATCACACCCTAATTTCTATTCCTGCAGTATAATTAAATATATAACGTATAGTATTTTACGACATCTCGTCTATACAGCCAACAAATCTAATTTAACAATATCTAAAACATGTTTTGTTTTTTAATTCAAAAATCGAAATAGAATAAATAATAAGTAATATACTATACCAAGAAAATATTATATAATGTTTGAGATCATTGTGGTTTATTTTGTTAAGGTTGTGTTACAAACATATTACTTATATTATTTATTTATAACATAAATGTTATCACTATTGGTGTCCTTTATAATAATATAGATTTCTTAATAATATTTTTACTCGTATACACTTATACTCCTATTGTGCAATACAAATTTGTTTTTTTTTTATATATATACATAAAATAAGTAAGTAGGTACTTAGTAGAACAAGCACCAATCATAAAGCCCATATCCGCCCAAAATTAAATTTTAAAAATTAGGCCCCACCCCTGACCCGGCCCAGTTCAGTGAAAAACACATAGCCCAGCCCTGTCTGGCTCGATCTACTCCAGTAAAATATTTAGCTCGGCCTAGGGATGGTCTTTGTATTATAACTGATGTCGTAGACACGACATTCTTTCTTGGACGTATACGGCAACAAAACGCAAAACTAGATCAACAAGATCTTCGGTTATTGATGTTTGAACATCAACAACTTTACTCTAGAAATCGGTAGTTACCTTCACTGGCCTTCTTCTCGAAACCCCGGATCAATGTAATTTTATACAATAATACTTTAATAACCCTTTTAAATAATTTTAATGAAATAAACGCATCAGTCCGTAACAGTAGCATACGCTGCCCCTGTTACGGCGGGCGACCGTATAACATATTTTGCCGAGCAGACGTACTTATAACACGTGGTTCACCTCTAAAGTAGTGAAAATAAAAAAATCGAACACAAAATATTGAATACAAAACAGCGAAAAATCATTTAATTGAAATAAAATAAAAAGCGAATAAAATATTATAGAAAATATATAAAAATTAAAATTAAAATATACGAATGAAAATTATTATTTTTGTCGTACGCATTGAGTAATGTTCGAATCCGTTCGGCCGAACGAATTATTATCATTCAAAATCGAGACTACTCCATATTTAGTTTTCTCCGAATTGTGTTGTCTTCGGAGGCATTCAATAAATTTCAGTTATATGTATTACACTACCCGTTATCCCGTTCGTAATCTCGAATTGGATCCAAACATATTTCGCCGAGAAAAAAATTCTTAAAATGTTTCCTTACGTAATATAATATATTACAGCAACCCCGGCGCGTGGAAAATATTTAGTAGACGAGTTGAAAAAAAATAAAAATCATCAACCGTTCACACGAAACTTAAACTAACGGATTTTTACGCTCTCTACGTTTTCGCTCGTGTTCGTATTCGCTACTCCGCCGGGACACAATAACATGTATATAATACACTCGTATAATATTTTGACGACAACAGTAATGCCGGCGACGGTGACGATCGCGTAAAACAATATTACAACATCGCATTAAAATATTTTATTAATATTATTGACTGCTAGATATACTACACTGTGCAGCACACTGTATTGTACTACTATACACACTATATCGTGTAAACAAATTAATAATTCAAACCCGATGATTGATTTGTTTATTTTATTCCTTTATAGTGTCAACTATAGTCGATGACAGTCGGTTATGCAGACCGGCCAGGTCCTATTGTCGATAACTAACACCTAGCCCAGCCCGGCCCGGTCAAAATACTGTCGAATGCTTGGCCCAAGTGTTCCAATACTAATTATTAATAATATTATACCGCTTGATACTAAGTAAATTAGTAAATATTTATTAAGTACTTTGAAACCATAGTTTATGTATTTAACACGAAGCAAGCTTATAAAGAACATTTGAAATCTATTTAGGTTTCCAAAAGTTCCTGAAAACCGGAAACCATGGATTAGGCAACAAACTAAATTTAACGAGTGATAATATTAAAGATTGGCGTCGGATGTGTAATTTACATTTCATTGGCACGACGGGCTATATCATTAATCGTTATTATCATATTCGTAACAATATTGTAAATATGAATTGTTCGTTAAAAAGTTATCACTGGATTTGCATGTTATCGCATGTTTAATGTCCTATCCATTTCAAATCACCTGTGATTATGGATCGGTGATTTCTTAAAAAAAAAAATTGATTATACGTCCGTGTCGACGTCGGGTAATTTATTGTACTTACTACATATTCACGCTTACATCGGATATGCAAATATAAATTATTATGTTTGCGTTATTGGCAGAAGTAATAACGCCATCATAGGCCGCCGCTGTCGTCTAGTTTTAATACCTATATTATTTTTTTTTTTTTTACCCATCGTAGGATATCGTGATTCGAAAATAATGAAAACAAATCAAGGACGGTTTTATTTTTTATTTTCATATATACGCAACCTACAATCGTATAATACGCGTAGTGCCTATACGTGCGAGTGTATGCGTAACGTGTAATTAATCGATTTCAAAACGCACGGTGAAAAAGCGCGTTTTGATATACAGAGTGTTTTTTTTTTCTATCATGGACAAGCAATTGTCTCGGAGGATTTTAAGTGAATATGATTTCTGTTTTTTTTTCAACCATTGTGGAATATTTTAAGCTTTATTTTAAAATGATTTTTTATTTTTTATCACTACTCCCATACACCTTCAACAAGTACATACTTTTAATTTTCAAATATAAACCATCTTTTTGAACACAGATTCAAATAGAGAAGGTTTTTCTAGAAATCTCGATATTTATAACACTATTATCAGATTTACCGTTTAAAAAAAAGTTTAGACTAGAGGAGTAGTGAAGGGTAATAAATCACATATATATTTTTAAATGATATATCAACAAATCTTCCCTACTCCTCTGGTTTAAACTTTAAACGATTATAACACATAAACGGTAAATCTAATATTAATGTTACGCATACCAACATTTCTAAATAAATATGCTCTATTCGAATCTGCGTTCAAAAAGAGGGGGTTCCTATTTGAAAAACAAAAGTAGGTACATGGAGTAGGGCTAGATAGTTAGAAATGATTTAAAATAAAGCTTAAAATAATGATTAATAAATTATTATAAAAAAAAAAAAAAAACAGAAATTATATTCAATTCAAATTTTCCCAGATAATTGTTGGTTCGTGATAAAAAAAATCAGAGTTTAAACTCGAAATCTGGGGAGGGAGCTGGCCCCCTGGACGGTCCTGTAAAAACCACCACTGTTTACCATTATTTATAATCAAATTGCAAAAAAAAGAAATAAAATCAAATTAGAGGCACATTTTGTACGATATTTTCCATTTTAGTCGAGGAATTTGTAAAAAAAAACAAAAAAAACAGGCGCACAATACATACATTTCTGATTAGGTATATTTTCTATTATTACACGGCACGAATAATCTGGAAAAAACTATACTAGTATCTACCTGTACGTGCTACCTATCGTGCTGTACGATGAATGTGAATAACTCCTAAAATAACTTATTAATACGAATTTCGACTTTGATGCATCGCATTTCTTTAAAATAATCGCCCTGTATATAACGTATAGACGATGTGCGTACCTAAACCACTCTGGTCCAATAGTAAGTCCTTGTAGCAGACACACGAGTCTCGCCATTCTAATAATGTAATGCCGGTTCGTAAACGGAGGGTGGGGGGAGAGGCAATCTCATAACACGGTCGTGTACAAAATAATAATAATAATAATAATAATAACATGCGTAGGTATCTAACTATACCCACCTAACTTACACACCAGGAAAACGTTTTAAAGTAAAACGGAAATAAAAAACCAATATTCGATATTCCTACCACCACCGTCGTCCTCGCGGATTCGATAGATTCGTCATTATGACAGAAATATATTAGGTATCTAGTTTTTAAAAAATAATAGCTGATATTGGTGAGCCACTGTTGTAGGTGAAAAGTTGGAAGGTAGAATACATAGAACTATTAAATTAATATCAGTACGGAACGATAAATCATTGCTAAGAAGAAAAAACGATTTTGAGCGAAGTTCAAAATCGTTAGCATAATGATTGGTTCATAATATTGATACACCTAATTTTCCATTATTTTTATTGTTTTTACTATAATAATTGGTTAAAATACAATACGTAGAACAATTTTAATAAGCGTAAGTATATTTTACTACACGGAAGTATAAGAGAGTTGATCTGGAACACCCGCCGGGCAATAATATTGTGATCCGTTTAATTATTTATGAGTCGTGTAGTTGCGTATTGGTAGTTACTATTATAACAGTCGGCCTCCTTAAGAAGACGCCACACTGGCAAAAAAACACGGCACAAAAAAGTTTTCACGCGTTCCAAGAATACGGATTACTGAGTGGTTTTAGAGAAATAAAATCTTAATTAAAAATCGTAGAGGACAACTTTTCCTAGAGCGATATGAAAATAATTTTTGATATTTTATTTAACTGGCTTAATAATTGACATAGGAAAAGTAAAAAGCGTGAAAGTTTTTAGATTGAAATGCTCCGCTTTGATAACAACATATCAAAAATCGAGACCCATAATGCCCTAAAACAAGTTTTAATGAAAGTTTTTTTTTTTTTAAATTACTCAGTAAACAGTGTTTTTGGAACTCTGAAATCAAATTTTTACGCAAATAAAGTTAAAATTATGTCCGACATGTGGTGCTTTCTTTCCTAGCGGCAGCGTTTGCCCTATCTTCGCATCCCGGAAATTTAAAACTGATTTGTTATCGGCGTTCCACCAACGTTAAGTACCTACCACGGTATCTAGCATAAATATGGCTCCAATTGAAAAACGACAAGAGACCTTTTTTGTTGAATTTTTTTTTTTTTAATAAACGTTTTGAAATCAAATTTTAATTCTTTCGTCAGCAATTGTTTATTTATCGTTGCTTACAGATATAAATGAAATAACCTTACATGTATCCTACCTTCCCAACTTCTCACCTACAACAGTGGCCGGTCCTATCCTAAATATCAGCTCTATTTTTTTTTTTTTATTGTATGTGTTAATTTATTACTTTTCAATAGTGATTACAAAGATAGTAAACTACATACATATTAACTATTTATTAAAATTAATAACTATCAGTTTCAAGTTTCAGTTTTCAATTCATTCAAGTATGCCAATTTGAAAACCCGAACAGTAAATTGGACTCAAAAAGAGAATATTATATTTTTAAAAATGTTGCTATACATAAATCATACTACATTAATAAAATCATAATTATAATTATTTATAATATTAAAATAAAATATTTTAACTAAATAATGGCTATTTTATTTTATTATCTATAAACACATTTTAATGATTCTTTATCGTATAAACAAATTTTAAAAACACCTAATCTTAAAATAAACACATAATCTAACATGACTTAATAAATTTAAACAAAAATAAAATATGAAAAGGAGGTGGTTTATTAATACTCACAATTTGTTGAATTGGGTTATCTCACAAGAATGTGAGACGTTTTCCAATATTCATTTTAAGTTATATAGCACGTCTTAATAATAAAATAGATAATATAACGATATAATACATAACACTAGGAAATGTAACAATTAATTAATAATTATATACAAATTTGAGCTTACCGCTACCATCAGGTTCATAAAAATACTTTTAAATAATTACAAATATAATTTAAATATGAAATAAATTTATGTACAATTAATAAAAATTTAAATATTTTATTCTTTTCCTTCACCTTCATCTCAACTATTTGGAATCAGCTACTCTCGTCCTAAACGTTTACATAACTCGATCTCTTACCTTGCATACACCGGCTATCCCTCATATCATTCTTTATCGGATTTAAACACCTCTTTTTCGATCTTTCTCTTATAGGTTATTTTCATTAAAATTTTTTCTGCTTCAGATTCCTACAAAATGAATGCGACATCAGCCGAGTTCTCGATTTTATATTAATTGTTTATAGAACTCATAATTAAAATAAATATAATTATTTTCTTTAAACCTCACCAAGTGTTAATTATTTGGAAGTCGACTCATAAAACTACTTCTGCCTAAACCAATAATGTGTTTCTGGACGAACCAATTTCTCTCTTCTTCCAACAACGCTAATTATAACCTACCGGTAGCGCTAGACTACAAGTAAACTAGAGTCCAGCACGGGCCAGGCCGGCCGGAACCGGGCTTGGGCCGAGCTCGAGTATGCACTTGTGAGTTGTCTGGGCCGGACCGGGCTTACAAGATCATATTTCAACTATGGACGCGGGCCGAACAAACCTATTAATTACTTTAGTATTTCCAATACTAGAATTACATGGCTTGAATAGGAAGTGCACTTATCAAATTTTTTATAACTTTCACAAATCTATTAATAACTTTAGTATTTAGTAACTTAGTATTACTAGTATTAGTACTTTAGTACGCACGTATTCCCGCTCTTACTATCAGAGATTTGTATATGTTAACATTTTAACTGCAATTTTCACAATTTTTTTTAACTATTTTGCAATCTACTGTAAATAATTTATAATGTCTATTCGTCCTGATATTCACTTCCAAACTAAAAAAAAAAAACAGTTTTTAATGTTTATAAGTTTTTTAAAAAATTGTCAAACGATAAATTGAATCATGAAGTGCCCAATTTTTTTATCTACATGCATTTCTATTTTATATAAGTTTGCTTGCAAACATGCAAGAAGACTGGAGCTTCACACAAATACAGTTGCCATACAACTCCTTGATAACTCGCAGGTTTTCACCAACCATGTTGTTGTCCTTTGTCTATTGTGGCCAGCGGCACGTTGTTTTATATGTAATATAATGTATACAAACTATGTCTACTGAACATGTCTATTTTTATCTAAACCCATCCACAAACACATAACAGTGACCAATCACTAATTTAAATATTTGATGTCTTATATCATGAAGGCACGTCAGTAGTACAAACTACAACACATAATTCAAAAATGGAACCATTCAAGGTATAAATAAATCATTGTTTTTTCCCCAGCTTCCCACCAAAACAGACTACACCATTTAACACAGATATATTATCCTACAGAAATACCAAATTTGTATATCTTGAATTTACAGTCAAAAGAACAATAGCCAAACTTTACACAGACTTGCTTATTAAACAATGTGAACCCAAGAAACAATTACTACTTCAAAAGCTATCTCACGCTACATCATATTCTTTAAGCGAATTTGCGTATTTAATAGGAAAAGAATCAGCCATAAAAACCAGAGAAAGATTTATCTCCAAAAATATTTTCCCATTAATGTTAATTTAAATGCCCAAAAGAGATAGTTGATAAATTACCTTTTCTCGTCAACAATAAGACATATCAAAGAATCACATACTCCAAAACTTTGGCACACAACTTGACTGCAATGAGTATATATCAGTCGCTTTTGCAAGCAACATAAAAAGAGGGACTCCATTGACTCCAATATAATAAATGAAACATCCTCAAAAATTTTATATAACTTTCACAAATCTATTTTTTTATCTACATGCATTTCTATTTTATACGATATTTAAATGGTTGCCCAAAACATGTCAAAGAAGCTTTACCAAAAATAGTATACTCCGGTTGAAAATTATTCAACTAGTAAAACCAAAACGCAAGACACCGAAACAATTGCGCCAAAAAAGAGATTCGCTCAGAAGGAACCCATTATAATGTTGTCTTAATGTAGTTTTTAATTATTATTAATTAATAAAATATTTATTCAATTATTTGTTGTATTGTATTATCTATGAGCATGTATTATAATTATAATTATTATTGTCTGTACCACATTAATTATTAATTTGTTCTTTAATTATTGAATTATACCTTTATTCATTTACTATAATGAACTATATAACGTTTTGGTTTTACTAGTTGAATTATTTTTAACCGGAGTATACTATTTTTTGGTAAAGCTTCCTTGATATGGTCTGGGCAACCATTTAAACATCGTATAAAATACAAATGCATGTAGATAAATATGAAAAACATTATGACAGCTTATTGATTTATAACTTCATGATCTGTCGTTTGTCTTTTAAATTTTTTTTGAGCCGACTCTATCTCTTGTGGGTATCCAGGATGTCTTTGTAGTGCGTTGATTATGTTTGCTGTATATATTCCAGCTGTCGTGAAAATTATTTGCACTTTCATACGACCAAGATAATGTAGTGGTCGGTTTTTATTTTTGAGGATGTTTCATTTACTATATTGGATTAATGGTTAAGGGGAAAGATGTTTTATGCATTATACATGTATTATTATTATCTATCATCATTGCATTGTCACCACAATGTTGCCACAGAACAATCACATTCTATGATGTTGCTATTAATAAATGCTCAGTTGTTCACGAGCACTCATCGTGTACATACATATAACAGTAATTATTCCTTATACAATCTTCCCTTTGTCGCTCCACCCTTCGCCTAAGCATTCTCATCACAGCTACACTCATTATCAGTTATATTTTTCTGTCTATCACCCAACACTCTGAACTGTATAACATAGTTTTTTACATCACACTTTTGTAGAACTTAACTGTAAATTTTATTAGAATTCTCTTATCACACAAAACACCTAACATTTCTTTTCACTTTATCCAACCACCTTAATCCTATATTTTAAATCATGAAATCCACTATTATTTTGTACAAATAGAATTCAATATAAAGTTAAATAAATTTTTAAAAAATGTTTGCATATAGATAACCTAACCTAACCTTTTATATATATACTGCATATTATATCAGATTATCAAGTACTCCAACACCAAAATTACTTTTCCCAATAGACATACTTGTGTTCATTCTCCATTCTTGGGCACTGCAGTCAAAAACTCGAGCATTGTTCAAATGATTTTTACCACCAAATCCACTGACCTTAGAAAAAGGATTTAACACAAATTAGTATTAAAATAGTTACAATAAAATCCATTAAGTTTGATAATATATGCAAATACAATAATTTATACATTTGTTTACTTTACTTTTGCATCAGATGGAACATTAAGTTCATTGCTGGAGATAAACCAGCACTTGTTCAAACGATAAGATAGGACCCATCACCTTTACTCACCTCTGTAAAAAAAATTCCCCGAATAAATCATAACAATTAAACATTATAAGAAAAATGTTGCTTGATATCTGATTCCTAACTTGACAACAAAAGGTTAGTAACATTTTTCCTAATTATATTAGATAGGTTCACCTGAGTGAAAAAATACCTTTTTTTGTCCATTTTTTAAGACGAAGTTTATAATTATTTTTTTTTTAAACCTAACTAGTTCAAAAGATAGGTTTTTGAGTAAATTAAAATGTGTTTGACCAAACACCAAATATAATAAGGTTATCATACTGATATTGTGATATAATCATAATACCACAGTATTGTGATTACTCTATTGTTATTAATAAAGTCACCAATCTAAGATCCGTAGTGATAAACTATGATCCCAGTCACTGTGGTAACCCACTAAATCAGGAACTCATTAGATTAAATTAGGTTAGGTTAGGTAAAGTTAGAGTAGTGATTCCCAATGTGAGCAGTACCCTCCCTTTGCAGGCTTTTTAATTTTGAAAGGGGATTTTTACCAAAGGGGACGCTAAGAGGGACGATTGTACTGTGACTTTTATTATTAAAAATAATTTTATGTCATTAAAAACAATTATATTATTATTAAAACAATATTAACAAATCATTAACTTATTGCAATGAAATATATGGCTACGTACAATATAAAATAATTAAATAATTTGATATTTTATATATACTATAAAAACAGCAAAATGGTAATAAACAAGCTTTTATCTTATTGCATCAATGCCATTGAGCTTCATTTGGTTCCATTTTTATATGAATACTTCCGACAATTGTATACTTGCACATATCACATGAAGTTATAATTTAGCGTGCGTGTACACTGTATAATAATTATAATTAATTATAATAAAATGCCTGAGCATAAAATGTGAAGAAAATATTTATTTTTCACTTTAATTAAATGGCTTATTATAAAAACTAAACTGTAATTTTTTAAATTTATTGAGAGAAGGCAGTGTGAATTTTTGAAAATCTAAAAAGGGCGTCGAGTAAAAAAAGTTTGGGAAACACAGGATTATAGCTAACCTAACCAATAAGACATATTTGGTTCCTGCCAAACTGATTTGAATTAATTTTGAATATTTTTCAATTTATTAATTTTTAAATACAATTTGTAAAATATTAAATAGCCAGGATAAAAAATTAATTTTATTTCTGAACTTACCATATTTATTACAATTAGTTTGTATAATTAATAAAAATGGTTTTTATTTTTTTTTGACAACTCATTCCAACTGTATAAATCTGCCAATGCTAAGACATCCAAATAGTTTATTGGATGTAGTTGAATTAAAAGCCCATATATCATGTAACACGTGTTTGCACACAAGCTATTTGGCCTTCAAGAAATATTTATAACTGATGTACAAGTATTAAAATGTGTTTATTTATAGAATTTTAATAAAAGTTAACAATATTATTATCATAATAAAGTTATAATACAAATTATTATGATAACCGTAAAATATAATATGTACCTACTCGTAAGCCGGTCACGTAGTAACTAAAATTATGAATAGTTATTTTCGATTTAAATGTATAGAATCTGATAGATACAATGACCAATGGGGGAAAATAAGGAAAACAAATTATCAGTTTTATTGTTTTCCCGTATAAAATGTATGAAAATAATACCCAATAAAAATCATTAAGACTTTAGGCACACATAGTCTTTTTGACAGGTTAGGTCAGTAACCACTGATTATAAAAATTCAACAAACAATAGTTAAGTGTTAAGAATGTTTAAATAATAGCTATACATATAGGTTAGTTTAGATTAGGTTAACATACATATAAATTGAAGGTATACAAGTACACAAAATAATTTAAATTACTAACAATGAGTATTTTGAAAAATAAGAAAAACATGGTCGATTAAACCATGAAGCAGCCGATGGCAGGTTAAAATGTCACAGCATATACAAGGTGTTGTCCCACGATGATCTGCCACTTGAAATAATTTTTGTTCTATTTAATATTTTTGATATATTTTCTTTTTAAATAATTAGTATACCTCTGTGCTAGTCTATATATATATATATGAACATTTTTTTGGGAGTGGGTGGGGGAGAGAGGGACTTAAAATAAAAAATATTTAAATTTTACAGTCTATAAAAACATTTAAAATAGCCGTTTTGTAAAATAGATTTTTAGAAAAATGTTGGTGGTTAAAACATGTCAAAGTATGATATTTTATTTTCTACGATTTTTTGAAAAATTTTAATTTTCTTTTCAATCAACAATATTATTTATCAACAAAAATGAAATTATTAATTAATTTATACTATTAACTATAATATAATACACCCTGATTAATAACTGATTAATTATTGTAATAGAATAACCACAATAGATAATATTCCCATTTGCAAAAACTTCAAAAGATTATAGAAAATAAGACCATACTATAACAAAATTTTCAACCCCCAAAAACTTTCTAAAAATCTATTTTACAAAATGGCTATTTTTAATTTAAAAGAAAAAAAACAATAAGATTTTAAATTCCCTCTCCCTGAAAAAAAATGTTCATATATTAACTGTAACGCAGAGGCATACTAATTATTTAAAAACAATATATATCAAAAGTATTATATCGACAAAAGTAATTTCAAATGGCAGATCATCGCGGAACACTCTATATATCTTGTATGTCATGTAAATGTAGAAGATTAAAATTTGGTAATATCTTTAGATAAAAATTAAAATAAAGCCAATAAAAATAATTCATACCATAACTAAAAATTTTAAAGCAGTAAAATCCAATTCCCTTATGATAACGTGTTCATTTTTTTTTCTTCTTTAGAACAAAAAATATTGTATGAAAATGTGGACTTGCTGATGCTCAAATCACTTTATATCCGAGATTGTTCTAATCCAGAAAATGATGCTAAAATTAAGTAGCTACCAGGAAAACAAACCCGAGTCTCTTGCCAGGATTGCTGTATCACTGAGCTACTTGCTACTTGACTTCTAACACTATTTCTATTGAACTTGAATGGTCTAATCTTCTTGATTTGTGTAGTCCATAGAATGGTCCTGTGTTTGGTGGATCACCTGTTGCTAATTTAATAACACAAAACACAACAAATTGTCACCAATATTAATTTCTTTACAATCAACAATAACTTCATAAAATGGATGTAATAATACAAAATCATAAATCTACGATATAAAATTATGTCACATAATATTATTTAAGTTTTTTTAACTATTTAGTGAAAATAAAAAACTAAAACACTATAAATATTAATTTGTAATGTTTACCTTAAGGATAGATATATACGCATCATACGTATTTGATTCATCCTTAAGATGGTTAATAATTAGAGTTAAATCGGTTACTCTCTTTTTTAACAATACATTTTGATCATGTAATGATTTTGTCTTTTGCCTGAAGTTGTTTATCGTCTTTTGAGATACATTCCAAAATTGTTTGCGCTTCCTTGGATTATTCAAATCATCAAATTTGAAATCACCAAATAAGCATTTTGTTCTCCTACAAAACAAATACATAAAAGTACACCATACAAAATTGAAAAATTTTAATTAATTATATACTTAGTTTGATTACTGGCAGTCATATTAGGAACATTTCCAATGCGAGATAGTTCAGAAATATCTAAACTCAAATTTGTCGATGAAACTTGATCTACTACAATATGAGATGGTCCAGGAACATCCAAACTACCACTCATCTTTGTTAGTGTAATTTCCTCAACTTTAATTGGAAATCCAATGCGAGTGTCAGAAGTATCATGTTCTTCACCTAATATAATATAGGTATTAGGTATATAAATTATATATTTATTTCATAATCAAATATAATGTCATTAGACATAGGTATGTAATAACACTTGAAACTTACAATCATTGAAAATATTAACACGTTTTTCGATATTAAACATAGATGGCACTGCATTGGCACGAAGGAAAAATGTTTTAGCTCGAGTGGATTTAATAAAATCCATTTTCACAAAGTGTTTACTACACATAAAACTACTATCACCCAATTTAAAATTAGGATAATGTAGCGTTATAGATTTTAACCATTTTTTTTGCAATTTTATAGATGTTGGAAACCTATTATAAAACACCAATAACATAAATAATGAGACAATTTCAAACATGTGCCTGGTTGTTATAAATAATATTAATAAGAATCGTATCGCATGCGCAGTAAACGCATGTGTATTGGATAGAGAATAAATGCACTATTAAATTGAATTGGTGGCCAAATTATACATTAATATAATAAATTACTTGAATAGTTTGATGTTACATTGTTTTGATGCTACACCTTCACATAAAGGTACAGAACACGTTTTGACCATGTTGTATTTTAAACTTTAAATTGTAATTAATAAATAATAAGTTCGGTAAATAAAAATACAGCGTACCAGACGTAGAAAAATCACGGTGCGTCAAAAGTAATAACGCAAATGCAAAATCAATTGCCAATACCATTACTTGCATGTTCTGCTAGATAATAAGTTCCAGTGGTTCTCAAAATATGAATGCATTGCACAAGCAGTAGATAATCAGAATCACTACCATTTTGTACCATAAAATATTTCTTCCACAATACTTTTGTTCTAATTGTGTTTGTTCCACATTTAACCTTTTGTTCCAAGAGATGTTTATTCCAACGCATATTAGTTCTAAAAAATATTTATTGTAACGACCATTTTTTTACAATTTTAAATCTTAGGTAAATTTGACCATAGAAAATAAATAATGAAAAATGTGACTAATGAAAAATATTACTGATGGTGTTTAGAGCAAAATTGTTATTGTTTTATACTGTGAATGTGCGTATGTAATGTAAATCCCATAGTCATCGATTATAGGATAATTTCCTATAGGTATGTCATTTTTAGCAAAGACTGTGAAAAGAAAACAATTTTGTTCTTCAGTTGTGCGTTAAGCTAATGACTCTATTTTTTTTAAATTTTTTTTTTTTTGTAGATAGATACCTCGCATTTTGAATCTGCATAGTTAATTTTGATAACTGTATGTACCTAAATCAATATATCATAAATATAATAAACGAACGAACTTACCCGTACTTATGAATATCGTCAATAAAAGTACCATTACTGATGAACATCTATATAACTCTGGTCCAAACATTTATTTTTTTTCTAGTTTTTCATCCGGATTTAATCATACTTTTAGAACAACTGTGAAAACTAGTATTTTTTCAAGGGTTAGCTAAATTAAACTAATGGTAAATGTTTAAATTAAGTAATTAAAGGTACGTAGGTACAACAAAATAACGAAAACCTAAAAACAGCAATCGTAGGTATTTTACCGAGATAAATTAGTCGGGTGCGGTGAGATCATATTACGTAGAAACGGAATATCAATCATGACAATTGACAGTCATAATGATGCTTGGTCGAATCTAAATCTCGGCCATTTACAGCTCTTGAAGCACTAGGTACCTGGTACCTACAATAATGTGAATGAAAACAAACGGATAAACTTCGCACGATGGGTGGGTCACTGTTACAGTTGAAAATTTGGTCAGGTAGAGGGAAAATTTAATGCATACCTACGTACGTAACGATTAATCATTGCTAACGAAAAACGAATTAGAACGGGGTTTGGTCATACATATTTTGAAATGCCGTAATATTTACGATTTGAAAATATCACATTTGATACATTTTCCTGTTTTTCCAGATTTTTCAATTTATTATAGGAACTAATGGGATAATCAAATAAGGATATCTCTGAAGTACCAGCCCGGTCAGGTTTCCTTTAATGCATTCCTTGCTTCGCACAGAATCTAAAAATGTATGAGCTTATGCTTCTTAAACTACTATCAATACTTTCGATTTCAACAGCCATTGCAGATAAAAGTTTTCAACATTAAGGAGATTAAAAACGTATTTAAGAAATACTACATTTGAGTTATAGCTTGTAGTACTTACTTTGTAAATATAGAGATGTAAATATTATTGATGATATTATGGTACAAGTAAATACCTACCATAAACATATTTTTGCGTTTTATCAAGGCCCAGACCAAAACGCTAGACCTAGAGACATGTAATTTTGGTACTTAGATATCGTATATCTTTAAGGGCCAGATATACCAGACAGGTTTAAACAAAGTGAACTAGAATTTGTTCATACTCGGTTTAAGACCAAAACATGCGGTTTACAAAATTAGTTTAAAAGCAAGTTTAATTAAACCACTGATCTTAATGTTTTAAACCAAGTCTACTTATATTTTTTCCATAGATCCATATATTTTAAGTCATTTTAATACATTTCATTGCCTCTATTCTCCTTATGTTTATCCGCATACTCTTCTTCACCAAAGTATCTAAGTCTGAGATGCTTAAAAATTCTCCTATATGTAGTCCCCAATCCATCCTCTACGAAATATGACCTAGGGACATTTGCTTTCATGGATACTCTACCTGGAAACCACTCATTATCCTTCAGAAACAATATTAACTGATTTACTTTAAGTGTTTCACAAGGCCTAGTACACAAATTGTAATATTTAGCTTATAATTTTTGTTTATTTTTCAACTTGCACTTTACCTCATCTTTTTCATGTTTTTGCTTTAAGCGCCTCTCTACCACAACAGGTTGTTTGTCCTTTCATTTTTTCGACATCAGCAGCTCTGCTGAGGATAAATGAATACCTTCAATAAGAGTGTAATGGTACACCAACAACTCGCACGGTAACTGCCATTACTGAACATTTTTTCAGTAATTTTTTACACACACCCATACAATTTTCTGTTAACCCATTGGACTGAGGGTAATTTGGACAGGAGGTGGTTACATTAAAATTCCAATCAATAGCAATTGCCTGAAACATTAAGACATTATCTGAGACTAGTGTGTTTGGAACCCTAAAACGTGAAAAAATTGACTGAAGTTTGTCTATCACAGCTTGTGCTGATTTATTAGCGATAAGGACTAGATGGCCAGCGTCAACTACAACTCGTGTACCACCACATCCTGGTCTGTATCGTCTTCTTCCATAGTCTCAAGAAAATCTTTCGACAATGTGTCTGCTATAAACATATCTTTGCCCGGAGTGTACACTACTTTCAGGTCGTATTTACAAAGTTTTAGGAGCATGTGCTGTAAGCGCATTGTTACTTTATGTAGGTCTTTCTTCATTATACTTTCTAAGGGTTTATGTTCGGATTGAATCGTTACACGCTTGTCAAAAATAAATTGATAAAACTTCTCGCATACAAAAATGATGGCCAACATTTCCTTCTCTATTTGTGTATACCTTTGTTCTGTAAGGGTCAAACTTTTGGATGCGTAAGCAACATGATCATCTTGCAGTAGTGCTGAACCAATACCATCTTTAGAGGTATCTCACAGTGGGCTAAAATTATTAATTGGAAAATATAAAAAATTTATAAATACAGTTATTTATAGATAGTTTTCTTATCTGGATTTATATTATAAGACATTAATCTATTAAGTGGTATTGATATAATATAGATTATAATATCGTGTTGTACATACACGAGTATGTATTTCTTTAGCCGTGTCTTTCTCTGCCGTGTCATATTGTATGGTTTTATTAATTTATAGTTCTAATATTTTTGTTTAATATTTTAAACACAAATGGCATTTAATGGTGATTTTAGAGAATTTATTTAATTATCATTAGCTATATTAAATTGATTACAAATGTATAAATAAATAATTATTTAATTGGAATAAACATAAATTATTTATTTTCAATTAAACTATTAAGGCTTTACTGTCAAAGTAACTTTAATTAAAAATATTAAAAGTTAACTAATTTTCCGTGACGTAACTTAATTTTTGAAAGAATTTATTACTCAATTAAACTGACTTAATATTTCATATTAAAGACATTATTTTCCCAATTTAAAATATAATAATTATAAAGGAATAAATAGCTCGCAGTATCAAGAAAAAACTGATTTAACTAAATAAGGTAGAAGGCACCAAATAAAATTCATCTGTATATTTGAATATTAATTTTGAACAAAGTTTAACTTAAAAGTTTAGTTTTGTGGTGTATACATCTAAGGTAGGTAATTAATACAATTACCATATTAAATTTAAAAGCTTTTTTGTATTTGTATTTTATATAATATCCGGATATATTGTTGATGCAATTCTCTATTTTAGTAAATTAAGATAACTAACATTCTTAAAATATAGATTGATAGGTAATGTTTATCATTAACTTGTATAATGTTTTTTTTACCAATTTTGATGTTTTAAATTAATAGATAATTTCAATAAAACTTTTTTTAGTGAAATTTAAAATAATAAACTATGATTAAATTTGTTTAAATTTGAAAACTTATTTATTAAGGTACCTATACTTAGTTTTAATAAATTTATTATTTGATGTACAATCTATTACTATGATATTGTAATTAAAAAAATTATTTACAGTCTTATTACATAACATTATTAATTATTAATTTAAAAATAATATGGCTTTGATTAGTTAATAATTAATAAACATAATACCAGTCATTTGAGTTGTACAATACATTTTGTGTTTGTTTTATTGTTTCTTTAAACAATTCATATTATTATAAAATACTGTTAATACTATATAACTGCAAAATAACTGAACAGTTTCAACATTAAAGACAATATATTGTAACATTTTTAACATATAATATTTAACTACTAATTATCTCTGAGTATTAATTTTTACCAATTTTTTTTTGTTCTTCAGTGTATTTATCTATTTCAAAAGAAGTTCTAATTTTATCTATAGTGCTGCCAATAGAAAATTCTTCATTTTTTTTCAACATCTTTGGCGGTATATGCATATCAAATATCCTATAGTATTTTAATATATTTTCTGTAAAAAGAATAATATAAATACAAATATATTAAAATTGATGTAGATATCACATAATTGTACGCATTGTACAACATTAAAACATATAGTGTTAGTATATAATTGTAATTTGTTTGATAAATAATTATATTTAAATTATAAAATTAAAAATATATTTTATTTTGAAAACTTCATATTTCTTATCAGGGCTGTTACATTTAATTCTTCCTAAATTTTTGCATATGTGATATTGAAAGTTAATTTTATTTTTATTATTCAAATAATTTAACATTACAAATATAATAATAAATGTATACAAATCTATGCACCAATTTAATATACTTATAGATAAAAACATGATTGGTATTATTATACCTTAAATTGTTAGGTCTAGTTGTGAGATTTAAAATTTACTATTTTTTAAGATTAATATTTATATATCTACACATTATACTTAAACCAGTGGCATACATTGATATGGTGCCATTTACTGGTGGTTTACCTTAAGTACAAATTCAATAAAATATATTTTATATTGCATACCCATTAATTTGACATCAATTTTAACTCGTTTAGCCAAAATTTCTGCAGTATAAATTTGTTTATCTTTATAATGATCAGCTATACATTCAGTAATTTGTGTAAGTGTGTACCGTCCAGGAGGCACACTCTCTGGATCTTCAACCAAAAAACCAAAATTAAATACCTGTTCTCGATTTTGTGGTAGCTTGGCTTTTGATTGATTGTTTGGTAACTATAAAAGAAAATGTACTATTAACTATATAATGTTACAACATAAAACAATTAATGCCATTTTCTCAACACTTAGTTTTTTATTACAAACCACAATTTTTATTTTTTTTTTACTATAAATAATTATTTGAAATTTAAATCAAATTTGAGAGCTAAAATTTAATGTTTACAATTATTGTTAGATAACTATGAGAATGATACTTGATACTGTATCATAATACACAAAAAATTTGTAAAATCGAATACAAGATTCAAATTGAGTACTCATGTTTACAAGTAAAAAAAAACAACCTTAATCGAATTGAATATTTGAACTAAACTCAAAATTTGTTTCAAAGTCTATAACTCACACAACCCTAAAAATGTACATTGATTAGCACAGTAAAAACAGCAGTTTGTGCAGTGAAACGTTAATCAATTTGCTAATTTTGAATTACTGTACCAGGTGATTCATTTAAGTACATTCAATATCTCAAAAAATATAGACTTTTTCTAGAACATTTAAGAAACCAGCTGCTCTACAATTTTATATTTACATTATTTTTTGTTACCCTTTTTGTGGAGGATAAATCCACTATCTACTTTAGATTTTCGAACAGCAACCTATTTTAAAAATTCCATAAATAGATGGAGTATTAGTTGAAATAAATTTTAGTATTAATATTTTTGATTTCTGTCAAGCCATTGATGAGGTATTCTACTTTTAAATTTAGGTTGAAGGAGTAGTGGTGCATTATTGATACACAGCACGCCATACGGCCTCACAAATTATACTCTACTACTTTCCTCCAACCCAAACTTAAAAGCGGAATATCTCATCAACGGCTTGACAAAAATCAAAAATGTTGAAACTAAAATTTATTTTAACTAATACTCAATTTATTTATGTACTTTTTATTATAGGTTGCTGTTTGAAAATCTAAAGTAGATAGTGGTTTTATCCCCAAAAATAAATGTGACAAAAAATAATATGAATATAAAATTGTAGAACAGGTTTTTTTTTTAAATATTGTAAAAAAAAATTCTAGAAAAAGTTAATACTCTCCAATATAATGAGCGTATCCACTTAAATTGATCACCTGGTACATAACATTTAAAAAGTGTGACAAGTAAACTGCATTTATATAAAAAAAAATTGTATAATACTAACATCACCTTTAGATTTTACATAAACACTTTGTAGATTCTTCTCAAGAGTTGAATTTTTATTTTTTAGCTCTTCTATGAGTCCAGGATTATCTGAAATCAATGTCGATTATTGGGTATTCTTACTTTGCATTTTAAACTAAAATTACCTTCCATAAGCTTTTTTAGACGTTCAGCGTCTACTTTATACAATGGAGCAACCTTAGGTTTTTCTTCGTTTATTATTCGTTCGGTTCGATTGATTACATTAAATCTTCTGATATATCGAGTTAAATGTGATCCAGCTGCTCCCATGTTAGTTAAAATAAACTATACTCACCTAATATAAATTAAAAAACCAGAGTCTAAATTAAAAAAAAATATTTTACAAAATTAAAAAATAAAGATATCTCACTTGGTGCCAATTCCGGTCTATCAGTCTTAAAATGTTTAACTATTTACAATAACTATAATTAAAAATCCTAAATTTAAAATTAATTTTTTTTATAATAATTATATAATTCATAACCTTAACTGGCATTGATTTGGCTGTAATATAATCACTATTATCAGTTATCACATATGTACCAATGGTAATATTTGATGAGAATACTCAGTGGTTCCCAATTGTCTATATAATGTTGCCTATTCAACTCCTGAAAGTGTATTTTTTAACTGATTTGCGAAATGTTATGTTTAATTCTGTATCTATATTGTCTACCAAACTCCTGACATACCGTGTTCCTCGAAAAACTAGATTATCGATCAGATGAAAAATCCGATGGGTTCGATGTTCCTCATCAAATTCGAAACAGATTGCTAGACGATGGAAATATGTTATCAAAATTATGCGGTGTTATCAACATTTCGCTATAATGTTTTTATTTTTTCAGTTTTACATTTTAATATGTTCATTAAATTGAATAGCAATATTATATTTATATTATAATCTAATTGAATACAATTTAATATATTTATATATTATCAGGTTAACATCTGTTATCAAATAATTGTTTAGATCACGTGATGGAGCATTTTGCATTTTAATCACGAACCAAGACTTAATTCGTGGTTTTAATATAAATCGGTGTTCCTTAACATCTAATCGAGGTTATCGAGGAGAATACACGGATTGTATTATTATTTTTTAATTTAATTTTTAATTTTACCTATCTAAATTTCGAAATTCTATTCAAGACGGTTTTGGTTGAGTTTAATAATTGCGAATAATCAATAAATATTCATTTTTTTGAAGCATGACGCTGATATCACCGTTACAGAGCACAGGCTGGCTACAATCGCTGTTGGGTATTTTCAAAATTTATTTATTTTTTTTTTAATACTTAAGGAACAAATAGTTCTGTAATGTAACATTATCGGCGTTTTTCTTTTTTTATCGCCATTGTTTTTGAGGATGAAACGACTACCTACTTATGATTTTCAAATGGCAACCCATATTGAAAATGCATTAAACAGATGTAGATGGTACATTACTAAAAGGCCGCGTGCCCTGCCGTCCCACTACTCGCTCCCGACCCAAATTTAAAAGTGGAATATCTCGTCAACGGATTGATGACAATTAAAACTGTGAACACAAAAATTTATTTTAACTAATACTCTAACTATTTATGGAATTTGTAATTTAGGTTGCTCTTTGAAAATCAAAAGTAGGTAGTAGTCGTTTCACCGCTTAAAATTAGAATGATACAAAATAATGCAGATATAAAATCGTAGAGCCGTTTGTTTCTTAAACTGTCCGTAAAACAGATTTCAAAAGAAGTTAATACTTTCCGTGGTAACGGTAGAAGAATCACCCGGTATACATTACATGCTACGATCAGAATTCAATGACCATGAGCATTTAATTATGACGGCAACGTTATATGTGAAAAAATTTACAGAAAAATGGTTTTATTGAAATAAATTGTCGGCGATTTTTAATAAGTAGCTACACAAAATATTAGTATTAGTAAGCTAGGTATAACTATTACCAATACAAATTATATGATGATTAAAACATCCATTAAATGAAAAAAACTACCTTAAGTTATACAACTATTTTTTTTTAAAAAAAAAGTGAATTTTTAATGTATTGTTTAACAACTTAGTTGTTAATACCCATGGCTAAATATGTAGGTATGATCACAACTTTGTGATACACAGGTACAACGGCTGCCACTAGCAGTGATTCCCGTTTTATTTCAATCTAGCTGTTAATAAATATCACTGCCAGTTGAGTTTTCTCTCCATGAAAATCTAAGGAACTAACAGTTGTGATCACTACATATTTATTTAGCCACGGTTAATACCTATGTCTATATGGCGCTGTATTGGAATATTACAATTATGATGTGCTGAATTTTCCTTCCAGAGAGGTGCTTACCCAGCCTAACAGTCTTAAAGTATACTTCTTCGGATAATTTTGACATCGTAATTACTTACGAGTGTAAGTAATGTATCCAGCTAGTTTTCTTCTATTTTTTTATCCGGCTCCAAAGTCGGCCACTTCGAATGATTTTTACGCTGCACGTTACTATATACTCTCGTTGTACGAAATATACCTAGAATTTGTTCTTTTAACTTCACATTGTACATTAATGCGTATTTATTATCTATCTACCGCCTAAATATCAAAAATGGCAGGACGTATTTAGGGTTGTCTATACTAGACGTATTATTCTTGTTCGTGTACCTATACAATTTGTTTTGCTTATTAAATTGTAAATTGTATTTAAATATTAAATATTTTATTAATATTTTTAAATTTTTTACTTTTAAGTTCATTGAAGTTTAATGGTACAGACCCCTGATTTCACGGGTATAATTTAGATATTTACAATAAATATGTGTGTGAATTTAATCCTTCCCAAGATGAACACTTTAAGTGCATCATGTTTCGATAATATATTTTTGAATCGAAATGTGGACCTTGAAATTTGTGTTAAGTGCTACTTTTTACATATTTGAATATTTTGGATTTTTAGTGATATTTTTCGATTTTTGGTGCTATTTTTTTCTAATATGCATAATATAATGATTTATTTAGTATTTTTCACATAAATCTGCGGCGTTACCTATTTGATTTTTTTAAATTTGTACACACTACGTTTTCTATCAAAAATATTGTTTTTAATCCAAAAACCATGAGATACCTTTTTTGTTGAATTATGGATTTTATTGCTAAAAAATTAAATCACTCATAATAATTTTTACCTATTTTAAATTTTGATTTTAGATTCTGAGTGGAGCGAGGAATGTATTGGTTTTACAATGTTTATTTTTTTTTGCGGACAACTTTTCTAGTAGCACTTTTTCTCAGATTTCTAACTGTAACATTTTTTCTGAAAGAAAATCCAACTGACATGGTACTCTAAAGAGGTAATTTTTTGATTTTTCCGGGGGTTTTCATAATAAATGGGGGTAACCAGGAAAAATGTAGGAAAACAGGAAAATGTACGAAATTTATTATTTTGAAATCCTAAATATTACTAAATTTTAAAACATGTATAACCGAACTCCGCTAAGAATTGTTTTTCGTTAGCAAAGGTTAATCGTTGCGTAGAGATGTACATTAAATTCCTTTCTTTATCCTACCCATTGTACGAAGTATGTCCGTATCTATTTTCTTTCTTTACATTAGAGTATGCTAATAGGCATACCCCGTAATTCTGCCTATGGTGTTTTTACTCTAAAACCAAAATTAAGTGAGTTCTACGTAGTCTGCGTAAAGTTAATTTTGCTTATTGCGCATTAGTTGTACATGCAAGTATAACGTCCTCTTAATTTACTTATAGTGTGTTTGATTTAATTTAAATTTACTTTTTGTTAATGTAAGAATCATGTAATAAAATAAACAATTGGAGTAAAAGAGAAAGAAAACTGAACGCGGGGTTTTAAGAGATTATGTGGATGATGCTATGGATGTTGTGTACAAATTATATTATAGGTATAATATGTGTGGTGTATTAATACAATATTATGTGCACGTAAGATGTATAATGCAAGATCGTAGTGATCTATCTATCGAAGGATGACCGACGACAGTGTTATCACAATACGATTCTTTCATATAACGTTTAACTTTGAAGGCGAGGCTATAATATGTCTTAGAAGGTATTGCCCCCCCTTTTAAAACGACCTGGCCGTAAAAAGAGTTTGGATACGCCACTGGAACCATTCTGCTCGGTACTATAGAATAAAGGTAAGCGCTAGCAAAACCATCGTTTTTCAACGTACCTACCCACTAATAAAAAAATAATATTTCGTTGGTTGGGTCCGCGGCCGGTGTACCGTGTAAATAATTCGATTACAAAGATAATAATAATAATAATAATAATGCGTGTCCTCAAACGACAAACTGCAGTTTGGCGGCCGTCATTATAATAATATTACTATACAACTATACCCGTCGCACTTTCGATTAAAAATACCCTCTCCGGTCTTTTCGGCAGCTCTCCCTGTGGGGTCTCGGCGTATTGCAAAAAAAAAACAAAAAAAAAAAAAAAAAAAAAAAAAAAAAAAACCAACGATTTAAAGTATTCCTCTGCAACCTATTAACTCTATTACCCATATAACGTAATTCATACAATATTCTCTTCCGCTATTACATGCTATACACGCGATAATATACGATTCGGATGTGGAAAAATTCAATTTTAACAAAAAACCACAATAATACCCGCTGCAAATATAATATTACAATAGTCTAACGGAATCTGACGGTTCGCCAACTATATACGCCGGTCTAAACTGTCAGTTTATAAGTGAGCGCGCACGCGCGTGGTTGTTTTTGTTTTTTTTTTTATTATTCGTCTACACATGTGATGTACCTATGAGTACACGTCACGTGGAAAAAAAAAACCGCCGTCGTATTTAGCGTGTGCCGAAACGCAATCGTTCGAAATTACACGTATTGTGCCGTGTCTATTATCTTTAAAAAAATAAAAAACAAACAAAAAAACGTTTTGAAATAAAAAAAAAAAATAATAATAATAATAACAAAATAATCGAATACGACGGAGCGGCGGCGGCGGCGGCGGCGACGGCGGCGGCGACTTATTAATTTTTAATTTTTTTTTTTTTTCAGTTTTTTAATTTACANAAAAAAAAAAAAAAAAAAAATAATAATAATAACAAAATAATCGAATACGACGGGGCGGCGGCGACTTATTAATTTTTAATTTTTTTTTTTTTCAGTTTTTTAATTTACAATATTCGGTGTATTATACGACGACGACTATACGACGACGGATGTAACACTTGTTATAATAATATAATACCGCGACTACGGGGGATCGAAATCATCGCCAACGACCGGGTATTCCATATAATAATTCGAATAAATCATCGATGTCATTGTTATTATATATTATATAGGTATATCGGGGACGGGGACGCGGTAAAAACTACCCCGGTACAAACGAAATATTATTATTTCGGTAAAAAGATCCCTCGTCAGTCGTCAACAACGATGAACTCGCGATTATACCGTGTAGCTGCGAACGCGCGGGAGAGCTGGTTACGCGTACTTACATAGCATCGTGCATGATGGTGATGTGGATATTATATTATCACGACGGGAATGATATTCTCACGCGGCCGGGGCTGTATATTTTTTTTTATTTTTTTTTTTCATCCGAAACCCTTAGGCGTATAAATATTATTTTTTTAATAAAAAAAAAAAAAAAAACTCTTTATGCATATTATACGCGATACACTCGCAATACACCCTATATCATATCATTATTTAGTTTGTGTAATAATATTATTATTATTATTGTTGTTACGAGGATGATAACGGTTTACTTTTCCCCGAAATACAATACGATCGCGTGTCTTCGGAGGGGGGTGGTATAAAAATAATATCGACAA